CACAGGGGCATCGAAAACTATCGTACGGCCGGAACTTCTCAAGCGCACAATCATGTGGCAAGGTAAAAGATCTACGTGTCAATTGCAAACAGCTACAGGCCAGCCAGTGACCGTCCTGGGAGTGACAGATATTACATTAAAACTAGGAGACAAAATCTACAGACAAAGCGTCTTGGTCGCTAACATAACGGACGACTGTATACTCGGACTGGACTTCTTACGATCACAGCAGTGTGTGGTGGATATCACTAGAGGAATATTGAATTTTCCGGATCAAGAAATATTTCTAGAAGGAAACCCTCCACCAGTGGTCTGCAACGTCAGAACGGTTACCCTACCAGCGAGGTCAGAGACATTGGTAGAAGTCAAGTTTCCGGAAGGAGCGTTACTGAATCGATGTGTCGTAGTAGAAGATACCGGGAGTCACCCTAGTTGGATCACGGCTAGAACCTTGATCATGACCAAGAGAGGGGCAAGGGTAAAAATCGTAAACACTAGCAACACTGCGATATAGTTATGGACGAACACGGTCATCGGACGATGCGCAGGTGTAGACTACATGAGAAGAACTCAAGAATGCTGTAGAGAACCACCTTCAACGAGGCACATGAATCCGTTACTGGAGAAAATGAAGACAAGTTTGCCACCTAACTTGTATAATGCAGCCAAGCAACTAATATTAGACTACACAAGGACATATTTTCAAATGGAGAAAATGACCTTGAGAGGACTGGCCTTGTCAAGCATTCAATCCACACCGGTGATACACAGTCTATCAAACAAAGACCTAGACGAGTGCCTCTGGCAAGAGAACAGGAAGTAGCGGACATGATTGAGAAGATGTCACGTGATAAGGTCATCGAACAATCAACTAGCACCTGGTCTTCTCCAGTAGTATTGGTGAAGAAGAAAGACGGCAGCACCAGGTTCTGCGTGGACTTCAGGATGCTCAACAATGTGACCAAGAAGGACAGCTATCCATTGCCTCGTATTGACGACACATTGGACATGTTGGGAGGCATGAAGTGGTTCTCCACAGTTGACCTGAAGAGTGGCTACTGGCAGGTGGAATTTCGCCCAGAGGATAAAGAGAAAACTGCATTCACTACTGGTACTGGAAAAGGGCTGTGGCAGTTTCGGGTCATGCCCTTCGGATTGTGCAACGCACCAGCCACTTTTGAACAACTCATGGAACGTGTGCTGGTGGGGTTATTGGGGGATGCTTGTCTGGTGTACCTGGACGATGTGATCGTTATGGGACGCAGCTTCACGGAACACTGGAGGAATCTAGAGAAAGTATCAGAAGCATCCACGAGTCAAACCTGAAGCTCAATCCAGAAAAGTGCGCGTTCTTCAAGAAGGAGGTAGCCTTTTTGGGGCACATAATATCTGATAAGGGTGTCCAAACTGATCCTGAAAAGGTAAAAGCTGTGCAGGAATGGCCAACACCGACAATAAAACTGAAGTGAGAGCTTTTCTAGGCCTATGTGCGTACTACCGCAGATTTGTAAAGAGCTTCTCTGAGATAGCCAGGCCATTACATCGTCTCACGGAACAGAGAGAAGAGAAATTTCGTTTGGGACACGGATTGCTGGCGTTCGTTTCGAAGTTAAAGGATTTACTTTGTTCCGCACCAATCTTAAGCTATCTACGAAGAGAGGGAAGATTCATTGTGGATACTGATGCTAGTAATACTGGAATCGGCGGAATACTGTCACAAGAACAAAATGGACAACAAGCTGTTATCGCTTACTTCAGCAAGTCTCTTTCAAAGCAAGAGAGAAATTATTGTGTAACTCGACGCGAACTTCTAGCAGTTGTAAAGACCCTACAACACTTCAATAAGTACTTGCTGGGAAGAGAGTTCACACTGCGTACAGACCATGCAGCACTTAAATGGTTACTCCAGTTCAAGAACCCTGAGGGCCAAGTGGCGAGATGGATCGAATAGCTACAAGAATTCAACTTCGTAATAGAACACCGTAGCGGAAAAACGCATGCCAATGCTGATGCATTATCAAGGCGGCCTTGTGCTGAAGATTGTAAGCAATGTTTAAAATGCGAGTGCAAAGACGAAGTGAAGGTTATAAGGGCTCAAGAATTGGATGAATCCTGGAGTAAAGCTGAAATATCTCGGGCGCAGAAGGAAGACAAGGACCTGCAGCTGATAATGAAGGGGAAAAGTGAAGGACGGAAACCTTCATGGAGTCACATATCAGCTTCAAGCCCAATCACGAAGGCATACTGGGCCCAATGTGACAGTCTTCTGTTACAAGAAGATGTGCTGTATCGGAAATGGGAGTCACCAATTGGTAAGGATCAGATTCTTCAAAGGTGGTCCCTAGGTGCAAAGTGTCTCAGGTTTTAAGGCATGTGCACGATGGTACGTCTGGCGGACACCTGGGAATAAGGAAGACCTTAGTGAAAGTGAGGGAACTGTTACGGGGCGGGTCAGGAAGGCTTTTTTAAAAAACAATTTATTTACCAGTTAACACTACTTTATTTATGAAATTAGAATATGTGTTTCCCGGACGCGAGTCCAATCCGTACTGATTGAAAGTAAAGTTTTATTACCGGAGGTTGAGGTGGATTCCTATTGCATTGACGTCAATGCAATAGGGATGCATCATCACTTTTATTTTTATATAGTCGTAATGTTAAATTCGATATAACAGAACGCTTCTACTGGATGCGCTGTCGAGAAGATGTCGAGGACTGGTGTAGGAAATGTAATGTTTGCGCCTCGGTCAAAGGGCCTTGTACTAGATCCAAGGGGAAGATGCAGCTTTACTAGGTCGGCGCTCCTTGAGAAAGAATTGCCATTGACGTCGCTGGGCCTTTTCCACAAACAGAAGATGGAAACCGTTACATTGTGGTGGTTCAAGATTATTTCACCAAATGGCCCGAAGTATTTGCTACACCAAACCAGGAGGCTCAGACTGTTGCCAAGAGGCTTGTTGAAGAAGTAGTGTGCCGATTCGGCGTTCCGTTGGAATTACACAGCGATCAAGGAAGGAATTTTGAGTCCAACTTATTCCAGGAGATATGCAATTTACTCGGAATAAATAAGACGCGTACGACTCCGGCACACCCACAATCCGACGGCATGGTAGAGAGATTCAACCCGACTTTACAAAATCATTTGGATCGTTACATTCAGCTCTTTCTGATGGCGTACCGGTCCGCAGCGCATGACACCACTGGATTCACTCCATCGAAAATCAATTTCGGAAGAGAGATGCGCTTACCCGTGGACCTACTTACCGGAACACCTCCTGCTGCCTCCAAATCAGTAGTAGAGTACGTCGCAGAGCTGCAAAGAAGGTTGGACGAAACGCACGACCTCGTGCGTGAAAATAACATGAAATCTGGCGAGAAAATGAAAAGCAGGTATGATCGGAATGCCGACGCTCGAGGCTTCGTGGAGGGAGAGCTTGTTTGGTTGCACAACCCACAGAAACGGATTGGAAAGTCCCCAAAGCTTCAGCCCTGCTGGGAAGGACCCTATAAAGTGATTAAGAAAATCAACGATGTGACCTATCGGATAAGACAGGGAGATAGGAAGAAGCCCAAGATAATCCACATCGATCGACTGGCACCTTACCACGGCAGCAATGATGCTCGGGACGAGCATGTCTAAGAGGGGGGCAGTGTCACAAACGCTCTCGAAAAGTAACCGCGAAAGTGCCAGAGATCGAATTTGCCAGATCACCACCGGTTGCGATAGAGGTCGAGTAAGGCGGCTCATTATGAAATGAGCCTTATGCAGTGCGACGTAAGGGAGAAAGTGCAACGAAATCTGCACTTGTTTACAAGTTATGCGTGTTACCTGCGTAGGTATAAGTAGGTATTTCGTACTCGCGGGTGCTAAGTAATTCTCAATTTAACAGGTACTTTCTAGAATGCGTCGATCGGCGGATATAAGCGCGATTGACGCCGCGCAGAGACAGTTGAGTTTCAACAGCGATTTCGGAGCGAATCCAAAGGCGATCAAAGTGCAACAAAAGTGTTCAAGTGAGATTGTTTAGAGACTTGTATAGTGAAATACAGTATTTAGTGAGTGTTTTGTAATTAACTTTGTGTGTTAATTGTGTGAACTGTGTGGTGAATAAAGAAATGTCAAGCGTGAACTGGCATATAATTTCGAACCCCATCCCGACACCTAACAATACCTACATGTTAGGATCCTGTGAGATTATCTAAAAATGAATTTATAAACTACAGATGGATATAAATAAAATAAATGGAAAATACATCTGTTACAAAGAAATGGACAACTATTATTGCATAACTTTTGTCCCTTATAGTCTCATTAATTATACAGCTACCTAAACCTAAGAACTATTCCATTTATCTGATATTTAACGCTGTAACAAAACGTATAAATTTTTATGTATTTGTTACCAAGTAACAGGTACATCACCTGACTTCAAGTAACGAATCATTACTCACGAATACATTTCGTTACTCGTATGTTCGTACCAATGATGTCAATTTGATTCTGTGTACGAACGTATGGCATTCAACTGCGCATGTAACGTTGATTGAAACGGGTTGCTCATCTTGCGTCGTAGCACATGCGCGCTTATGTTCCGTGATGAACTAATGTTTAATATTGTTTGTTGAACAGAATGTATTTAAACACTTGTGACAACGAAAAATACTTGTTTATACAACAATAAATATGTATATTTCTCAAGAGCTCAACAGTTAAATAATAAGTATTATGAATGTGATGACAGTTGAACTTCAATCTATTATATTATAATAAGTATAGTAAGTAAGGAAATTGATTAGAAAAAGTTTGAAAGTGAAATTGAAACAAGTTTAATTTAAACGAAGTATGTCATAGTAAATGTAGCTTGACTCAATAGTGCTTCACGCTAGTTTCGAAAGTAACAAGTAACGTAACAATACCATAGTAACAAGTATTGAATGTTATAGTAACAAATACATACAAGTACTAACTCTACTGATGTTTTTGCATTCGAGTGACTAACCTGCCAACTCTAACTAGGACTATGTTGTGCTCTTGCAGATTGTGCCCGATGCCTGGGATGTATGCTACCATCTCTTTCCCATTAGATAGACGCACCAAAACACATTTCCTGTTAGCTGAATTAGGCTTTTTGGGTTTCTTTATTAAAGTCTTCAGAACAACTCCCTGAAAGTGTTTTTTATAAAATGATTTAGAGTTTAAGTAGGTTTTCAATAGCAGATGATCATAAAACATGCAATCTACTAAAACTTTATTTATTGTATAATATAGATAGTATACTGATATCGATTCTGGCGTGATTCTCTAAACTTAAAACTAAATTTAACATCAGTCTCTTCTTTATAGAGAATGAAGAGGATACACTGTTGTCAAATTTAATTTTAGATTTAGAGAATCATGCCAGAATCGACACCACTATCAGTATTATGAGGTATCCCTCAGGAGGGAGGAGGGAGGTGAGGATATCAGTAATATTAGAAGAGATGGAGATCCCCATCTCTTATTGTAAAAGATGCAACTTCAGCTTTTCCTTTGCATATGCAGGATAGAGGGAGACAATAAAGTTTAGCTTAGAAAGCTGACTGAAGTTTTCACTTTATTTAACTATTTTTAGATTTACATTGGATTTCTTTTGATTCCTTTAAAAATTAATTCAAGTTTGCAAATATGACTACTTTTTGAAAGAGTGTAAGTATTAGTTCAATTCAACTGCTTAAAAAATACTATTTTTGGTCTATCTGATTACAATTAGCCTCTGTTTTTTATATATCTTCATGCAGCATTTTAGTTTTATTACTTATACACTATGCAAAGTCTGCTATATTTATGCTTAGCTTAGTTCAAATAAAAAATTAGTTGTGCGAGCTATGTTTCTTGAATTGTTATGCAATAATTCACTTTGAAAATTTATTTCACTGACCTTAGCAAAAGGGTTACCATTGAGAGGATTTCTAGATTTTCTTTGCTTAATATGTGGTCCCGTTCTATGCATTTGAGCAAGTGAGGCCATTGCTCGTGAAAATAGTCCTAATGATGGGAGAGTACTGACTGCTGGTGCCTGACTGCATCTTATAGCTGGAACTGATATAATAATAAATTCTTTATTTAAATCTGTAGCCCTTAAAGCATTAGTACCAATTTCACTAATAAAACAATGTTACTAAATATTTAAAATATAAGAATAACAATGTTGTGGAAAATGTGTATTCTAAATCTAAAGAAAATATAACTAGAAAAAATTCCACGCGGACCAGGCAGCAGACGGGACTCGAACCCGCACCCTTCGCAATCCGGGCGAATGCACTGACCTTTAAATAATCCTTTAGATTTAAACATCAAGCAGTTACATGCTTTAAAAATAATAAAAAAATTATAATGTGTATTCTATGTAAGGTGCCCTTATATGATCATGGGGCATGACATACTTTAAGTGCTGTAGTATGTGCATTGTTGTTGTTTGTTTTGTAGTGTAGATTAATGTGAATATCAAGCAAACTAGGTGCCATCATGTGGTCTTAATAATTAATTTACACTCTTTTGACCGAAATGCATATCACGCTGCATGATCGTCTTTGGCTGTCATTATTCAATTATATCTTTTACAATATATACACAAATGAAATTCCAATTGGTATGAAGAGACTATAAGATTATGATGTTTACAACAAATACAAATTTTTACTACTCTGACAAACTTCGTATACGCATACCTTTTAATTGATTAAATTGTGATTTGATACCCATGGAAATAAGGGATAGCCCTTGCCTCAGGAAATTCATCTACAACACATCCATAAATTAATATTATTAAGTAACTTTTATACTCAGTTCATAAAGAATCTTAGTTTACCTTTTTGAGTATTTTAGTGTTATAATCTAAAGGAACCTCATTAAAAAATATAAATTATTAAGTTCCAAATACTTAAATTCCAATAACAACTAAATTGAGGTTATTTTTGGTTGTCAATGTCATTTTTTTTGGTTAAGTTCTCCCTTTTCAGGGAAGGCAAGGGGAACAATGCCCATACAGCCTAGTCTTAAGTTAAATTATTCTGTTTTTCTTTTTACATTAGAATGTCGGTGTGACGCATTCTAATGTTTCTTGAAGTGTTTGGCACGAAATGTATCGAGCTGGCTTTTTCGATAAGCTTCTGTGAGGTAGTCAATACTACAATAAAATTCTCACGTCCACTTGACCGGAATAGCGTATATTTTGACGATTCTACTAATTCTTCAGTTACGCAGACAGTTGTAACACAAAATCACACCAATTTTATTTCACAATATCCACTATGAACGAATTTAAGAATAATTAAAATAAGACGCCAACCACACTCGATGAAATCCCGCCAAACTGTTCGTTGTTGTCAATGTCATAGTTAATATTTGTTTTTTTAAGGTTCTCCCTTTTCAGGGAAGGCAGAGGAAACAATGCCCATACAGCCACAGCCTAATCTTAAGTTTTATTAATTCTTTTTTTACATTAAAATGTCGGCGTGACGCATTGTATTATTTCTTGGAGTGTTCGGCACGAAATATATCGAGTTGGCTTTTTCGATAAGCTTCTGTGTGGTAGTTAACACTACAATAAAGTTCTCACGTCCACTTGACCGGTATAGCGTATATTTTAAAGATTCCACTAATTTTTCAGTTACGCATACGATTGTAGCACAAAACCACATCAATTTTATTTCACAATATTCAATATGAACGAATTTAAGAATAATTAAAATAGGACGCCAATCGTACTCGATTAAATTCCGCCAAAAACTTCTATTTGTTTTTATAAATTTCCCTCTTTATAAGCTAAGGATACTGAGTATCTGCAACCTAAAGATTAAAAAAAGATAGGAAATAATAAACAATTCTTCATGTTACTGTTTTGACAAAAAAATTTATTTCTGAGGATATAAAAATGCTTTTCAATAAATCAAAGAACTTTATGCTTTTTTAAAAGATTTTATTGATATGATTGCTACCCTTACCTTAAGGATGCTAATGTACTTTACTTTGTGGATAGGTTTATCAGAAAATGTGTATGAGTCAGTGGATATTGTTGCTTTTGCTTTCACAAATATATGCTAGCCGCAGGTGGCACCAGAAATCACGAAGTCCGTGATTAGCTGCATCCATACCAACGCAGTGAGGTTCCGCCGGATTATCGCTGAGAATATTCAAAATAACACAAAGAAATACTATTTGCCTAGTGAATTAAGTAAGTATTTAGAAACAAAAAAAATTTTACCTGATCGCTGCACTGTTTTTCCCCGCCCAAGAGTGAAATCCGACTTTTTCTAAGTTAATATCTAAAAATCGATACAATAAATAAGATAATAAGAATACAGTTATAAAAGAAGATTCAATCGGCACTCATGAAAAACCCAACTAAGATATTACCGTCAACTGTTTTCCAAATAAGGTAGTTTTCTAAGTTGCTGATCCCGAGCCATACCATCAATTTGAAATCGGAATCCACAATACTAGGGTAATGCATTCCACGCACAATGTTCTGTATAAAAAGAAACTCCTCCTGTAATAAAATTAAAATGATTATTGAGAGGTTTTAATGAAAAACTGTTATAAATTAAGTCCAAGAAAAAAACTGTGGCGTTGTTGTTCGAGCCAGGTTGATACACATTTGTTCCCTCAAATGACGTTAGGCAAACTTATAGACGTCATGCTCGTGACCGAGTGCTGCCGGTTGGGATGAGTCTTCACCAATGTAGATTCAAAATCCTATAACTATATCTGACTCTATCTTGTTTCGCCTGCCTGAGTAGGTAGTAACTCAAATGCATAATGAGCAAGGTGGCAACTTGGCAAGTTAATATACATAAATGAATGGAGGGTATAAAAGTATGAATAATTGTAGGCATATGAAGATTCTCAAGTATTTGTAGTCCTCTTAACTCACGTTCAGTTGGGATTGGAATCATCTACTAAATTCTTGCACGTTTCGACGTGCAGCAGCACGAGAAATCGAAGCAGGAATGTTGAGTCAGACAAGCAAGTCAAGTGAGTAGACTAACGACTTTGGTTGCTTTACAAATTGCCTACATTTTTCATAATGTCTAGGGGGCGACGCTCTTGAGTTCAATGTAAATATAAATATTCTTCTGAATTTACCTCTGATTTGGGCACCGCGAGTTTCCCTCCGGTCATTGCGCACGAGTCGCGTGCTGTAGTCCAATTTTTCGCTTGATTCACAAGTGTGTATGTTGTTGAGTTAAGTTTTTGGGTGACTACATTGTTGGCAGAATCTAAAAAAAAGATTTATTTAACTGTGAATTATTTAAATTGAAACACCTTTACCTACCAATCATTAAAATTTTCAATTTGTCGCTTTATTCACAATATTATGTGTAAATATAATGTTTTTATTATTTATGTCTCCGTTCTACCTCTATTCGCATGAGACATTTTGGTATAAATATAAAATAAGTTACCTACCTAATCATTATTTTATTGACCGTTAAAATATATTAATTATTGTTAATACATACCACCTCCATTTAGACTATCACTCAGTACTGATCCGCATACAATAAAGATGGTCAGAAATCCAAACATGCTGAAAAGTTAAATCATATATAAATAATAATTAGATGACATTATAATAATAATTAGAAATGAAACTAAAATTAATTAATACTATTTTAAAATAAGCAGTTGTTAATTTTTAGACCTGTCCATCTAAAACAAAATATAATCACACTAATATCATAAAGGCGGAAGTTTGTGAGTGTGTATGTTTGTTACTTCTTCACGTCTAAACGGCTGGAGCGATTTGAATAATATTTGGTATGGAGTTAGCTGACACCCTGGATTAACACCTGGGCTCCGTTTTACTACGGGAAAAAATACCTAATAAGCCGCGGGTAACACCGCTGGGCACAGCTAGTAAGCATATAATTAGACCTATTTCAATGTAAAAAGTTGATATTATTCATAAAGTTATAGCACTTCCTATAAAGCAATCACAATATATAGTTATATTTAGATACCTGGGGCCCAAGCACGTACTTTGACAGATCCGTAATGGTATCGTCCGTCATCGTCAAATTTTGAATGGAAGAAGCCAGTTTGTTACATCCGGTAGGGGGCGCTGCTTATTTTTCAAAGAAACTAAGACGATGCGATACGATTATGGAGCTGTCAAAGTTCGTGCTTGCTGCTTGTGCCTCCTGACTCTCGAGATAACCGAATAGGGCTACTGGTGATAATACCACCAGTAGCCCTATTCGCTAACTGCTTTTCACAGATAGAAGTGATAATCACCGAGCTATATAGTGATCCACTATTACTTATCCACCACTAAGATACTACTTGTTCTGAAAAGCTTCGATGGATATGCAATTTACTCTTAAATTGCACACTATAAATGTCAAAAATGTTAGCGAATAGGCCAGCTGAGCATTGCCTACCCTCTGAACCTATCTCCTATTCTTTGGAGCCCTAAAAATCTAATAGTGCGCTAAAAAAAAGACCACCAAAAGCTCAGATCAAATCAAAAAGAATAAAAGGTAATATTAGTAGTAACATAACCTTTTGATGGTGATGTGGTCTCATAAAATGTTTTAATTAGATCATTTAATGACGCCATGATTTATATATATCTCAAAGATTACAAGGGAGGAAAATAAGAAGAAAATACTAAAAATAAAAGACTAAATAAATACTTACTCACCTTATAACAAGAAGAATATAAAATTTTATAATCACACACGACGTTCTCACACTGGCACTAACTGAAAATACTAGTACTTGCAGCACAATTTTAATAATATCTTGTTCAATAAAACGAACAAGCTATGTGTGTGGTGTGGTAATTGATCAACTCAATATAACTCAGAGATAACAGTAAACGCCTAGTTGATTGAACTTGCCACTTCTGGAGATGTACAGTTAAATACTATTTATCATGATATGAAATGAAAAATAAACAATAGTAAGCAATCTTTTTAATTCATTTTGTGTTGTTTTAAAATAATATAATTATAATAGTTTTATTATTTATGTTTTAATCTAAAGAAAATTTAACTGGAAAAAATCCTATATAAGTAATTAATAAATTAAGTAAGTAAAGCTCGCGGAAGTGGTTAGCGCGTTCGGCTGAGATCGTTGAAGTTAAGCAACTTTCGCAGTGGTCGGTCATTGGATGGGTGACCAAAAATTGACTATCTTAAACTCCTCCGTGCTTCGGAAGGCACGTTAAGTTCCAGCTGCATCTGCGGTCGTTAGCACCCACCAATCCGCTTTCGGCCCGCGTGGTGGGTCATGCATGGCTCAATCTCCCTATTCCATCCAAAGGGAAGGCCTGTGCCCCAGCAATGGGGACCTTAATTGGCTGATAATAATGATGATGTAATAATTCCATTTGAGCTCCATTATCTAATAAGTGAATTCAATGCTATAATAATATAGCAAGCAAAAAGCTCAATCGGTCAATTACTTACACACGGCCACCAGGGCAAATAAAATAACTTAAAAAAGCTGCAGTAAATAATATTTCATATATTGCAATGATATTTGTGCTGATAAATAAATAAATAAAAACAAAACAAATTTATTATCATATTTCATACAAAGGCAAAATCAGAAAAAACACTCAGTACCTACCTAATGTTTATGTAATGTTGATGTTACGTAATTTTGTTAGGTTATCACATGGGCGTAGTCAGGTACGGGCAGGGTGGGGCAGCTGCCAGCTGTACAACTAACAAGTATTAAGGTATTCTTAAAAATATAATTTTGCCGGGCAACTATGGCCCGTTTAGAACACAGATTTAGAAGCATCATAAAAATAAGTTATTCGAAAATTAGTTTTTTACTAGCTAGCACAAGCTAGCTAGCTACTTAATGCTTTTATATGCGATTGGTGAAATCATTAAAATGGCTTGGATTGTTCTAGTTAAATCATTTCATATTTATCACTTTTTTTATAAGCTGTCAGATTTCCAATTATAATAAAATTCATTCTCATTATTTCTTATAAACCCGTCATAAACTTTAATGAAGTTTCATTAGTTGTCCTAAAAAGATCATAAAATGACATCTCTTCTCATTAATTGTATGTGAGACGAAATTCTTAACAATCCATGGTTTCACCGTGCGGGTGCCGAGTCCACCATTTTGGAATGTTAGTAGTACGATACAGTAAGCTCTATTAGTACTTTACTTATATTTGATGTGCCTAAAAAAGGGGAACACGTCCGGCCTGGATGACGAAACACCAACATCATCTGGTACATTGTAGTGATTTTCATACGTATCTTTTAAAATAGTCTAGTCAGGTTCAGTATCTAAGACTGAAAAAGGCTTGCTTTGCGAGTTAACAGTTGAGCCTTCCTTTATAAAGTTAATTGGTTTTTTATTTGTGGTTAATCCTTTTTGGGCAAAAAAGCATTGTATTTTCTTTGTGCAAGTTACAAAATAAACTTGGCGGTTAATGATTTTAATAATGTTCCAGAAATAAGAGACACGATTAGCACAATAAAAGATGTCATCAACTTTTTCGAGAATCTTCTCTACGGAGAAAGTACGTGCCAAATATTCCAGCTCTTTGTGAGATACGCTGGTCACAAAAAAAAAGTATTGCTATTTTTAACGATCATTTTGAGGGCATCCTCAATGGGCTTTTGGCAAATTCTAGAGAAGGTAATGCTGCAGCGAGAAAAAAACGCTTACTACTTATTTTGTGCTTCTACCAAGTAAGAATTCATTATATCTGCTGGTTTGATAGAAAAATACTCAGGAATATTTTAACCTGTTGCCAATGCCCTATAATCAAAGACAATAGACATGTATATATGAAAGAAGTATCTCAGTAACGCGGACCAGGAATTCCAATATGTCTTCGACACTTCTACGGAAACTGCAGCTGTCATTGGAACCGATTTACATATCCCGCGCATTGCATTTCGCCAACGACATCAGTCCAATCATCCAGCTGAGACTCCATGCGATTTTTGAAAGCGATCGATCTTCATCCCGTATTTGGATTCTCTTATATCCGTAGTATATGTTCCAGTAGGCATATGCCTGCCTTCGGATTGATGATGCTGCATCCTGATGCGATGTTGAAAATTTCATTGGCTGAATTCAAACAGAAAACACAAAGTTTCAGCAGATACTATGGGTTAGAATCCTTTGGTAATAAAGCCGAACTGTGATGTAAACGATGGAAAGATAAGGTTATGCCAAGAGAACACCTTAGAGAGCTGAACTTTGCGGAGTTGTTAGAGAAGGCGGACAACATTCTTTCCTCCAACCAGAAAACCTATACTAATTTCTTTGGCACTGTTTTGCACCACGAGCAATGTAGAGAGGTACTTCTTTACACTGCGGTGTAGTCAAAATGTGGTTGAGGTCGACGATGCTCGATCTTGATCTCTTAACATACATAGGACACATAAATGGCCTGTGTATGTTAAGGGTCCAGCGAAAGATGGTACAAGAAAATTTACATGCAATTTTAGGTGAAGTCTTGAAACGGTTCTGCGAAGAACCGAGAAAATTGCTCTTGTTTATATAAAATTTAATTTTTGTAGCGAACATATTAGTTTCACTTGCCTGCCCCCCCCTTAACTAAATCCTGGCTACGCCCTTGGGTTATCATTAGTAACATAACGCAAAATATTGACAAAAACCCGCCAAAAGCGAATAGGATTCTCTTATGCACAGTACCTACACCGTACAAACCTTGATTAAAAATCTTTATCGAATAGGTATCACTTTTTCGATTACTGCAGAAATTCGTGCTGCTAATTCCTTTGTACACAATGCTCTTAATTCTAATTAGAGCATATGAAGAAACTTGTTATAGGTATAATGAAGACAAAGGGCTGACTGAGAAAATCTTAATACCGAAGAGATTCATTACGGTCCCGGCGTCGTACATTTTGAGTTTGCTCTTGTAAATTAAAACTAAATTAAAACCATCTTGCCGTTCCGGGTAACAAAATTTAAATAAATTTTAGTTGTTCTTTGAGCTTTCCAATGGGCTATTAAAGTTAAAGAACTACTTAGATAATTCGAGGTTTGTTGCAAATATACCAACGAGCACTTTATTACTTGCATGTTAATGACGACCTCCGTGGCCGAGCGGTTTGTACGCCGGGTTTCATGGTGTCTCCGACTCGAGAGGTCCCGGGTTCGAATCCCGGTGGGAGCAGATGTTTGTGTGATGAATACGAGCAATTGCACTCCAGTCATGGATGTTTAATATGTCTTTTTATTTAAATATACTTATCTATGTACAGTTTATGTATTCTATCCGGTTACCCTAGTATCCCATAACATAAACCTTACAGTGCTTACTTTGGGGCTAGGCTAATTGGTGGAGTGTTGGAAATATTTTTTTATTTATTTATAATGATAGTAAATTTTCAAATGATTTTAATAATCTTGTTGATGTTCATTATAAATTTCATGCTACTTAATATCATGAGAAACTACATCACAAATCCATTTAGTGAAGTAATTTTTGGTAGATCATAAAGATATCATTTGGGAGAAGATCATGTTTGTGAATCAGGCCAAATATCGGTATGTATCCTGAAAAATATTGCTCGGAAGACGGCGCACGTGTGAGGGATGACGATCGTGCAAAATTTATCGGTTTTAAGTTCTTGAAGGCAAGTTACTTCGATTAAAGTGGTTATTACTTAATTCAATCTATGTGACAGGATGTCTAAATAACGTATAAACAATTTAATTTACGTAATATATTTATAAATTACTTGTTTCAATAGGATCTATGAGCGGACTGTACGTTTCTTTATAATGAACTCCAAATTTTATAAAAAAAAGTATTTATAAATCGATTAAAGCTTCAATTAAACCTATTTATGTTATAAGACAATAGACATACAATCCTCAATTATTTTCTATCTTTCGATAAAGCGCAAAGGCAGTCCACCTTCTATGTTTTGGACAATATCAAATTTTGGTTCCACAGTAAGATGTTTCTTCGTTTCAGGGGCAGGCTCCACGGTAAATTTGGAGAGAATAGCCGCCAACCCTGCTAAGGACTGCATGAGGCCCAGCCGCGCACCTGAAAATTAATAATTTATTTAAGTTAGTTCCGTTTCCCCCCCGTTCACCTCTAAATTATGTTGTTTGCCAAACTTTTCTATAAAAAATATTTAATTGATCATCAAAAAATAGTAATAAATCCTTAGAAATGTACAATTAACCTAACCTAATCTAGAGGTTACCAAATGTATTGTTATTGGTATATTTTTCGGGTGATTTAAATATTTCCCTTCAAAATAAATTACTCAATAACAACAACTTACCTATGCATGCACGAGGGCCATCACCAAATGGCAAATAAACATATTTATTGGTTTCACTTATGTTCCTAGGACTAAATCTTTCTGGACGGAATTTGAGGGGCTCGTCGAAGTATTGTGGATCAGTATTAATACCTTGCACTGGTATTATGATAAAAACACCCTCGTCAATCGTGAAATTCAAATCAGTAAAGGTATATTTCTTTGTACATTTTCTGGCCAAGTATCCCAAGGAAGGAAATAGTCGCATACCTTCTTTGAATGTCCATTCTAAATAACTCATGTTTTTAATAGCTTCGTAACTAAGTTTATTGTCATATTTACTCAATACGTCATCAATTTCCTTTTGCACTTTTTTCTGGACTTCAGGGTTGTGTGCAAGTTGATGAAGAGTGTAACTTGTTGCCGATGAAGATGTTTCGAATCCAGCGGCAAAGAAGACAAACACCTGTGCTGCTATTAATTTATCCGTTAGTTCTAGCCGTGCTAGTTCAGGTTTTCCATCAGGTTTTACTTTTTGAAGGGATTCAACTTCAATAGATCCCTTATTTTTGCAGTCTATCATTAAATCAATAAAGTCATTTCTGTTAGAAATTTTATAGTTCCTTTCTTCTAAAATTTGTTTTACCAATGAAAAGACTTGATTTTCGACCCTATCCATGTACTTCAAACTTCTGGTTAAAGTCGGTACCAAGTCTTTCAGAATAGTCGTTAATGCCATTTTGAAGTTAAATTCAAAGATTTCTTGACCCAGCTTACGGAATGCCGAATTTTCTTCATTCAAAGATCCAGCGTTAAGGCCAAAGCCACAAGCTCCTATAAAGTCTGTTGTATATCGCGCCATCAGATCTCTGGCGTCTATGGCACTTCCTTCCCAAGATGCCGCTAATGCTCTGGCTTGTAAGTGTTTAGCTCTTTCAACTATCAATGGGAACATGGCTTTTAGTTTACCACTGGTGAAAGCTGGCGTCATGCGCTGCCTCAGTAGTCGCCATAAATCACCTTCGGCGAAAAACAAATTTTGCAATAGTGGTTCAATACCATCTTTGTCTGGATGAAGTCCACGCTCGTAAAAATGTGCGAAATCCGTTATAAGTACTCTTTTTATCAGTTCGGGATCTCTAATAAGTAAACCAGGTATAGACGCACGGAAAAAACCAACGACTTTTTCATTAGGATAACATTTGTACCAGTTTGTTAACGTCTCTGTATAACTCTTCCGCAATAAGAAATTTTCTGTATTAGTCCCAAAAAATGGAACAGGTTTCTGATACTTTATTCCACGTTTTTTCCAGTAATTAAAATTTCTTGTATTGTACAAATAGATCGCAATTAAAGTTAGGACTATAATAATCACTGTTATCATATTGACGAAAACAAAACTTATGTCACTATATACGACAATCTTGTTTGTGCGTTGGACCTCACTGAAATGTTTTATATACGTGTTATTGCCCTACTTATCACATCATATCATTCATATACCATTTATCATAGATAATGGAACATTAATTAGCAGTGATTATTTGCAAAGTGTGTGTTGTGTGTATAGTTTTCCAAAAATATTAGGTAATAGCGGGTATCCGTTACTCATCCGCGTGGTTTAATTGGATTCTAATACGAAATAAAATCCCCTATTTCGCCCACATTTTTTTTCACGACAATAAGTATAACCGACTCCAGGATTCCATCTGTCTCTATACCAGTATTCAACATAATCGGTTCAGCAATAATTAATCATGGTAGAATGTAGGGATGCAACGATACATAATTTTGCCGATACGATAACGATTTTTGTATTAAATAATAGGCGATACCGATACCGATATCGATGGCTTAATAGATAATTAATCAAATAAATAATGAAATAGGTAACTAGTATGTCTTTCTTTACAATGTTAAATTTGGCCTAAGAACCAACACCAATTTGGCATTTATGATAATTCTTAGTATATTCTTTGCGATAATTATCGGTATTTAGATTGTGACGGACGCTTCCAGTTAAGTAAGCTAAATTTAAAAGTTGAAAAATAATCTGAGACAATAACTACCATTTTATGTGTATAATCTATGACAACGCTGCAAACAAAACATTCTTTCTTCCTAATGCCGGCACTTCACTTGGCTATTCGTGTTTGCTATTTAAAAACTTGACATCAGTCTGTCCTTTTCATTTCTTATTAAGCATGACAAGGACAGACTGTTGTCAAGTGAAGGGCCGGCAAAAAACTCGATACTCTGTGGTTGTGGTGCAGGCAGTTTGCATTGTTATCTGTGCCATTCGTGCATTCTCGTTTCGGATTACCTGTTGTATTTTTATTTGCGATTGTTTTTCCTTTAATTAAACTATTTCGGCTATCTTATATACCATCGATGTTACCAAAGAGCAGATACCTTATTACCAAGTGCTAGTGAACCTATGCCACAACATCCTGAGAGGATCATACTGCCATATTATTCAAGAGCACCTGATATACATTCACGCTGCATATTTACACAATATACATGTGATATACAAATAAATACAATATGATACAATTATGTGAAAAATAGTCAATAAATAAGAAGGAAAACCACAGTTTTTATGTTATTCATGATTCCTACCTAACTAAGTTTTTCCTAATAGTTATTCTTTAAAATCGCACCGAATAAAAATTAATTGGTTGTAATATTAATTCAATTCATACTGAGTTCATAATAAGCTCATAGGTTGACCTATGTTTCATTTAATATTAAATATAACCTAAAAAAGTATTTAGTTTTCCTGATAATTTAAGTTCTCAGAAGTGTCCGTCAATAAATTTTGTTTTTACAGTCATTTACCTGCAATTTCGATCCTAGAAAATAATATTTCATGATTGTTAGTTGTTAGGCTAACAATGTATGGACGCAGAACAATGTCCTTTAAGGCCGAGCCTTGAGAAGTGTAAAGAATAAATTAATAAAAATGCACGATCTAAATTTAAAGGAAACATTTATTTTTAAGAAATAAAAAAGAACAAGAATTATGAGTGTCAAATTAATATCACTACAAAATAACACGAATTTATAAAATAAACCGACGCTATGTCAGGGTGGCAACGTCGCCGAGCGCGCGTCATTCATTTGGCGCGGTTTTGAATTGCATAATATCGGTGGTATTAATAACGGCGATGCCGGTATATCGGCCTGCCGATTATATCGGCCGATATATCGGTATCGGAATCGGTATTGTTACATCGCTAGTAGAATGTAAGCACCACAGAAATAAATTCACGCACTACATAAACACATAGCGAAGAGTTTTATAAAAATCGATTTTATAAGAACAACTAAAATACTATATGAGTAAAAATTCAAGTTTATAAAAAAAGCTTTTTCTACTTTTAAACAAAGATAAGTTTATGTATTTTATCAGTCTATAACTTTGATTTAATATTTTATTGACTTTGACTCACTTAAACTGAAACTATCATCTATACATATTATAAAATGGTAGGAAAGCCAAAACTGTACATTGAATATTTTTTTAAAAGAATACTTGGGATGTGATCTACTATCGATACCGAAGCCAAAAATATAGTTTTTAGAATTTTATTCTGTTTGTCTGTGTGCCCGGGATAAACTCAAAAAGTACTGCATGGATTTACTTCAAATTAGGCATGAATATTATTAAGAAGTCAGGTCAACATATAGGCTACATATTATCGCGCTATCACCTACGGGGAACGAGCGGTGAACCTTTATTTCTAACTAACTCCACGCGTACCTACGAAGTCGCTGGCGGCCGCTATTTTATTTATTAATAAGCTTAGTACTTTTCACACTTTAGTGTTTGTAAGTAATTTGTTATAGTTAAATTTAATAAAATAAATATTTTTAACACCACTTAGCCTAGCTCCAAAGAAAGCACTGTAGGCTTGTGTTATGGGATACTAGAGTAACGGATAGAATAAGTATAGGTACTGATACATATGTAAGTATATTTATATAGAAATGCATATTAAACATCCATGACTGGAGTGCAAATGCTCGTATTTATCACAAAAACATCTGCTTCCACCTGGATTCGATCCCGGGCCCTCTCGAGTAGGCGACACCTTGAAACTCGGTGTACAAACCAGTCGGCCACGGAGGTCGTCAATATAACACACTAACCTTCTTTACAAAAAACAACAAAATTGTTTACTTATAATTACCTGAAATCTAAATTATCAATAATTTAGATTAATATATAATGACACCTGTAAAACATTATCTTGCCTGAACCTAAAAATTCAAGAATATGAAATCAATAATTCTTAAAAATGTCTAGAATCCGGATTTAAAAAACTAGCCACTCGAACGTACATACAAAAAAACATCAGATAAAGTCGTTTAGAATGAGGAGTTTAATGATTTTTACATGTACAGAAGTATGTACTGATGATAATCTAGCTTCTCTTACATAATTTAGTGTCGAAGTGACTAATTAGACTGTCGCTCCAGCATGTTGTCGTATTATTATCGCGACCGTTTTATCGTACAAACGTGGGTTAGACGCATATTGGTAAGACGTTAAACAATAAATCGCAGTACAGGCGGGGTCTAAAATTGCGAGGTTGCCTACTATAGGCAATATCATGGCATGGCAAAACATATAAGTTTCATAATACATAGTTTTTGATATGTTTAATTTTTAAAGAAAAGTTTACTAGAAAAAAATCGACACGGTTCAGGCAGCAGACGGGACTCGAACCCGCACCTTTCACTATCCGGGTGAATGCACTGACCATCTAGCAGTTAAATGTTTAAAAAAATAAAAACAATGTTTAATTTTTTCAAATTTAATGACAGCTTTTTTAAGGAACCATCAGATTTAGCTAAAAAGAAATTAAATACAGATTTGTATGACATTTTCATGAAACATCATTATAGTCATATTGATAAATGATGTATAATATTTGAGGAGCTAGCGAACAAAGCGGTATTATTACATAAAATAAAATTTTACAGGAGCTGTATAAAACTAAATTACATAGCTACAGTGAGCTTTTGGCATGGTTTTTAATTTAGGCGGTTTTGATTGAAAATTATTCGAGATTCAAATTCAACGGGCCCGAAACCTCCAGACTGTAAAAAAATCAGTTATCTCTAAAGTCGATTTACTGTACATAGTTTTTACAAGTATGAATGTGCTTTGAGCAATTGTTTTACAACTTTTATTGACAATTCTTAAACATGTGTGATATCATTACCTTTATCACCGCAATTATCGTTGTTATAAACGATTGACACCACATTCACTTTTCACTGCACTTCATACTTGACGAAAACATGTAAATGTATTATTGTATAGCAGCTCTCTACGCGGACGCATCGCTCACTCAAGTAGGAGAGAGACAGATGTCGAACGCTGCCGAACGCGATGGCCGATTGTGTCTCTTTGTCACTCGTTGCGCGCTCTTGCTTGCACTTCAAGTCTTAAATGGAACGCCTCAGAGCGAGGTAACGCCGCAAGAATCATGTATTTTCGTGTGTGCAGCCGGCTCCATCGAATTATACGACGTTGTCACGTCAAAAAGTATGTAGTTTGACCAGATGCGTAATTATACCGTTTTGTTTGCCAGCTCTTCATTTTAAATCCGCGTGTGATTTGAAATTAGAATACAAATTTCAAATACCACCGCGGATAGCGCGGTGAAAAGTGAGTTTGTTCTTACAAAATAGCACGGCAGGGTTCTAAAATAGGCATTGGGTGAAACATCTAATATTTTATGTATCATTTATAAGTTCTTACAAAATGCATTAGCTGTAGTGCTTTTCTGTAGACTTTTGAGACTTTCACTGTATCAAAATAATTTAAATTTATTTTAATAACAAAATTAATTATGTATGTATCAATATTGTAATACTAAAGTTATCAATGATTTACACGAATACATTTCAACCGTACGTGTAAAATCCGTGACCAGCACCATGACCCCCGAAGTATAGTCCGTTTCCATATCCACCATAAAACGATCTGAATCTGTTAACAGGCTCTTCGTTTTCACTCCCTTTCCTATCCATTGCCGCTCTGTAATGAGCTAATTTCGTGTCTACAGTATGAATCTCTCTTTGCAAAGGGATTACAGTCAAATCGTGAAGTGGCACCAAATGCGTATGATGAATTGGAATCAAGTATAGTGGTGAATGGTGCGTGCCGTTATTAGTATGTGAGATCGAATGGGAAAAGACAGGTAAATTAATATTTTCATTCCTTATAACATGTGCAGCATGTTCGTGGTGGTAGTTTGAATGGATTGGTATAACATGCAGCTGAGCTGGTAGTAAAAGTTGATGAGTTACAGGTAGGATGTTGTGGTTTTTCTGTTTCCTTGTGTTGGCTGGAACTTTGTCTATTAAAACAACCGCCTGTGGGTGTACGATGGAATGCGCTTGTTGGGTGCTGATCTGCAAACTGTTCGGTGAATAGTTTGTTGGGACGACAACGACTTTCTGTGCTGTATGTTTGTCGTTAATTTGAACTGACTGTGGATGTACGATGGAATGCGCTTGTTGGTTGCTAGTCTGAAAATTGTTCGGTGAATAGTTTATTGGGACAGCAATGACTTTCTCTGCTGTATGATTGTCGTTAATTTGAACTAACTGTGGATGTACGATGGAATGCGCTTGTTGGTTGCTGGTCTGCAAATTGTTCGGTGAATAGTTTGTTGGGACTACGACTTTCTGTGCTGTATTTTTGTCGTTAATTTGAACTGACTGTGAATGTACGATGGAATGCGCTTGTTGGTTGCTGGTCTGTAAATTGTTCTGTGAATAGTTTGTTGGGACTACAACGACTTTCTGCGCCGCCTGTTTGTCGTTAATAGGAGAGTTGATAGTTTCACGCAGATAAATCAGGATCAATAGAAACGGCAGTCTCGATTTCGAAAGCGACATTATCTGAAACGAAACAAAAAATGAGATATTATTTTATGCTCGTAAAGTTAGAAGTAGTTAGATCATTTTAAGACATCAGAAGCATAAATTAATTTTCATACAAACAGGCATAAACGCACATCGAGTTGTGGTTACACTCTCTAAATAATGACCTTTTCCAAAAAAATAATAGACACTTTTTGACTTTTTTCTTTATCACAAATATGTATATTAAAAGAAAGTTTCTTTATTAATTTGACGAGATGATTTAGCATTTTATTTTATACATACAGACAGTGCAAATCAGACCTTACTTTGAGCTTAATTGGTTACGCTACTTTTACAGTTTTATAACGTGACATATAAGTTAGTTAACTTGTTATTTTTCAATTAACAAAAGAAAAATAACGATTGTTTTAATATTTGTACCACGTTACTTGTTTAATTCATTTTTTTTGGAAAGAAATTTAATTTAAGTATTGTTTCCGATGTAGCTAGGATCTCTTTATATGTCGAGAATGAAAAAGCTGGTGAGCGAGTGCTGCAAAGATCATGGGATACATCATATCAACACCAATAGCTTGGAAAAAACATTCGTAATTTTATTTATTTAATATTTTTTTCATTGTAGGTACCTTACCACAAAAGCTTCAAATAAATAAAATTGAAACTTAAATCAACGTATGGAATCCTCTCACTGCTTGTTTATTAGCACTTGTCCAGTTTTGTTGCGTTTCCGTAAACGCTTAATTACTTAAATTTATAGTTTTATGATATAGGCTTGAGATTAATATTGTAATGGCTATAGTAAAACTTAAAAGCTTTTAGGCCAGCTTTTATGATACGAAGAATTAGGATTTTTTCTGTGTAACTACGTATAGCTTTATACTGACCTTGCGTGGAATACTTTTGAAGTAAGTCCATTCTTGAAATTGACTAAATTTGTATATTAGAAACTTGCTCTGTTTTAATACGTATTTGTTATACATTTACTTCCAAGCCATACCGATCATATAATATTTAAGGGAATTAATTTAAAATCAAAGGCCATTTTCACTAGTCAAAATAGAAGATAAGTAGATAAGATTAGTAGAAAAACACAAACATGGTGACGGTGCTGCGAAAGTACGAAAATAATAAAAGATTGTATTACTCTATTTTAGGTTGTTATTTTGTTATCTACTAAGAAATGAATTTTGAATGACATATCTTTATTCAGATAACGCAGATTGCTTATAATAAGAAATAACAACATTGTAATGGCACGATTACACCTGGTCGTTAGCCCGAATACGAGTGCCAATGGAATGTCTATTCATAGGCAAAAATATAATTATTTTTTTTACCCTTGTAAAGCTAGGTAACGATACAAAACTAGATTTTATAGTTTCGATTAATATTACATGAAATTTCATGGTATTAAAGTTAATAATTTAAAAGGCTTTCCGTAGCAAGATTGAGCGTTAAAATCATCCGATGACCGACCTCTTAGCTTTGAATTTTTTTGTCTCAATCCCCTCAAATGCACTAACAACTGACACAATATTATCTTAGTTATTTTACAGAATTTATGCGAGTCTTTCTATGTCCGAGATAATAATTATTGTCATCTCCGGCGTCATGCTAGTAATGTTAATTTTGCATATTTTGTTTGCTATTTATTATAATAAGTAGTTGATAAAACAGTTTCTGCTCGTTCTAGTTTGACACATTTCGGTGAGTGGCAAGGACATTGCCCTTTTGGAGAACGTGTGTCGACGAAAAAATTGTTTTTGTCTTGAATTGTGTACATACATTCATTATGTATGTGCTGACAGACAAGTATTTGATTCAGCTTGTTTAATACATACACATAATGCTCCATCATAATGGTTTGTTTAGCAGTTGTCTTTCTGGTCTTCGCTTACAGAAGATAATGTTTTTTTTGCCATATGGTCATCTATGCATATGGAAATTTCCGTTTGCACTGGAGCACCCGTCTGGGTTAGAAACATTCTCCTTTCAGAACAGCAGCTAGTTCCTCAAGTGAGAAAGGTATTCAGAGCTCCTCGGAGCATTAGAATTAGGTCGGCAAAGTGAAATTGATTAGTCTAGTGATTTCGAAACTGGACTCCAAAAATACACACTTAGCTTCAAATAGGGTGGGTGGCTTAATTAATTAGATTATGTATCAAAAATGTCCTCCACATTAGTTCCCTAACGTTAGAGACATAGCGTTAGCTCTATTCGCGAATAATTTAAATTATTAGAAAACAGATTGTAACTTTATTTTGTTTATTCGTAAACAGTAAATCACTTTAAATGATTTTCCGACTTTCCGAGTTTGTCTGTATATCCGCTTATTTGTTCTATATACAAGGCATTGAACGTTTATTGATGCATATTTTATCATCCGTTACAATTTTTTGCTGTACGCAAGTGGCCCGGCCCAGATTTAGGGACCTTCACGACTTCGTTGTCCAGGGTCTTTTAATCTGACCCTGGCTACAACTCTACACAGAAGTGAAGCGAGGGCGGGTTATAAAATGAAGTTTAATTTAGACAGATAAAAGAAGTATTGAACAGTTTATCGATGACGTAAAAGCTCAAATCTTAAGAGGAAAGCTGAGGAAAGAAAGAGTAAAACGTCGTCGTCTCTATTTCCATTTGATCGCCGCAATTATCGTCAAGCTGCGATCTTAAAGAGTAGTTTAGAACGTATATTTATTGGCTGGTTACTTATATCCAGTATTTGATAAAGGTAATAAATAAATATCTTAGATTCTCTAATAGATGCTTTTAATGTAAGCATTCTAAAGACGTAGCTTATAGGAAGTAATTATAACACAAAATAAAGCTTAGTTAGTTTAGTATCAGGGCCGCGGTAGCATAATGGTCAGTAGCGAAAAGAGCGGATTCGAGTCCCGTCTGCTGCTTGGTCCGCGTGGATTTTTTTCTAGTAATAATATCTTATATAATAAGCATCGAGCAGATACATGCTTAACAAATAAAAAATATAGGTAAACTATGTTATGTTATTATTTTTTTCAGCTCAATTGTTGGAAATTACCTGGTTCGTGAGATTCTGTCCACTTCTAAGATTTCTAAATAAAGAGATTTTCTAAATGAAGCCTATTTTTAGGTGTTATATGCAAATGTCGCCGTTTTAGGTTTTTAATTACCTTTAAGGGGATTTAGTTTATAATTTGACTAAAGAGTTTGATTGTTTGGTTCAACGTACAAATCTCAGGAACTACTGGTCCGGTTTGATTTTTTTGTGTTAAGCTATTGGCCATATATGTAATATAAAGATACGACCAATAGGAGCGGAGCACTAATGAAAATGTTGCAAAAACGGTAAAAAATATTCTATTTGAAAGCTTCCGTTACTTCCGCTGCGTAAATGATAAAAGTTACACAAAAATCGTGTTTGGCGGTATTGTTTCCCCTTTAAAAGTTCTTTTTAAAGGTTCGCATTTTTTTCCTCAAATTCTCAATCTCTTGTATAAGATAAATCTAAAAAAAATGTTTCGTCCTAGCATTTCAAACAATTTAATATTATAGAAGAATAATAATACAATTTACTCACCGTTGAAATAAAAATTTTTGCTTTTATCAAATCACTAACTTACACAAAAACTTGTTCCGCAATTTTTTTACCACATAAGTAGTTTATTAATTTTCATAATATTTTTTGATGCGTTAAAAAATATTTACTTATTTAAATAGAAGACTAGTATTCCATTCAATTTCCTTCCGAGGACTGCATTTTGTGGTACATACCAAGACAAGAAGTGTGACTTATGTCCACAGAAGAAGGCGGGGCCACAGAAGAAGCGGCTTAGTTGGTCACCGGGCGATTTGAATTATTATCGCTAATCTATCTGACTGAGCCGTATTTGCTTCTTGTCATTTTTGTGCATTTGGGACTGTTTGTGCATTAATTAGTTGTATAATTTATTTAAACTGTCTGTGATAAGAAAATATATTTTTAATAATGCGATTTTGAGTAAAACAAAAAAATAAATTGCCTGTATTCATTTTGGTAGTTTAAATTTCCCATCGGTGTTAAGACTGGTTTTGATATTGATAATTTTATCATATTATTTATGTTTCAGGCCGCCCACGTAGCCGGCGAGCTTTCTACCACTAAATCACCGAAGTTTGTTAAAAAAGTCTGAATTATTTGATAAAAATAAAAAATGAAATGGGACATTCTAAAGTTGGATCAAAAAATGTGTAGCGATGAAATAAAAGTATCTCTTTGATAGAAATCAGAAATCAGAAATCAATATATCTTTATTCAAATTGGATGTATAGTACAACACTTTTGAATCGTTCAAACATTTTTTTTCCCTACCACTCGTTATTGGACATATTTTTTAGCTGCGGCGAAAAACGAGCGAAAAATACTCCACAACATTAAAAGCATAATGTAACAACATTTACAAATCATTATGTTGTTACAACGTCAATACAATCATGATTTATTTAATATAGAAAACCTGTTGGAATGATTGGAACAGTTGAAACCCAAGCATTTTTGTCTGTAATATAATCAGACAGTTTGTAATAAGCTTTTTTAATATTTTTTTTTATACTATCTTTGAATTTATTTATGCTTAACTCTTGGATATTGCTTGGGACTTTATTGTATAAGCCAACACAAAGACCTTTAAATGAATTATTGACTTTGTGAAGCCTAGTAGCAGGTAAAGTTAGTTTATTTTTGTTTCTTGTATTAAGCGTGTGAACATCACTGTTTTTAAGAAACAAATTAATATTTTTTCTTACAAGTAGTAAATTTTCGATATATTTATGTATGTACAGGGTAACCTATTATGTAACCTACATAGGTATTTAAAATAAATAAATACCTACAAACCTACATAGGTATGAACATGAAGGTCGCAACATTTGTCATTTTCGTTTTACAATATTGTCACTAAGATTCGCTTTGTTAAATTTCTCCGTATATGATACGAATTCTTAACGTGTCTTTGAGAAACCTCTTTGATTAAAAAGATGCAGTCATCCTTATTGTAATGTTAATAAGATTGCTTGTAAAATTTTACCTTTATAAATACAAGTATTAGGCGATAGTTTTTTATCATCTATCTTCTCTTCGACTTCAACTAGGCTCTTTTTACTATTGACATAAAATGAGGTGGTTAATTTGCATCGGAGTTACAAGACAAAAAATATTCAAATAGCTCATGAGATGGCCGGTTCATATTATTCCAGTAGCATTCCAGTCCTGCGATTAAATCCAGCACCGGAACGCTATTGTTATTATGTGAAACGGCACTGGAATATTCCCATTTCAGTAAGTAATCCAGTCCAGTGACTAGTCTTTCAAGTTCAACAGTTTTAAAAGACTGGAAAAGCGTGAACGATATAATCCAATCCAGTGAATCGGGCATAAGACGCAATAAAATTCTGGATTTCTGGAGTCAAGTCATGGACTTGAATGGACATTATAAAAAATAATAAATTGCACTGCCGTAGATAAAATGTATTATGTAGTTGGCATTCGTTACATTTATCCGACTATATACAAATTCGTTTGCAGTCGATATACATACATAATATCTTTCGACTGAACTCTGATGAATTACTGGCTAATCCTATCCAGGAGGATAGGATATTAAGTATTTTTAGGATCTATATTATATTTTTAAGATAGGGAAGTTAGAAGTACAATATTAATTAGGAACTTAATATTATAAGTGAATTTTGTATGTGTTACCCAAACACGCTAAAACAGGAGTTTTAGTACGGAATTGGATATTTGGCACACACATATAGCTTATTACCTGGTTTGAGACAAAGGCTTCTTTTTATCCCCGAAAATTCGAGGTCCCTGAAGAATTCTCCAAATACTAAAGTAAACGCGGACGAAGTCGCTGCCGCAAGCTAATAATGTTATAATAGAACTACAAAAACATGTATTTCATCAAGACAAAGCAGCGTAACAGCTACAGTGTTCATATAACGTGCTCGAATATTCAAAAAAGGAGTTTGCAAAACATCATTCACAGTGACAAAAGTTAGTATAAAAATGAGGATACATTTATCATTTCATTTGCAGGTTAAGTCAGGTTATTGATTATCTTAACAATTATTGTATTTCTGGAAAAATAGTATCAGTATGATAAAGTTAATTCAAGATAAGACACCAGGAAGCAGAA